AGAGAGAGAGAGAGAGAGAGAGAGAGAGAGAGAGAGATGGATGGATGCTTAGGCCTGACATCCTTGATGTTTGAGTCATTTTCGGTATATACAACTAAACAACACATAATCCTTTCAATTTATCATAGAGCCAATGTGGTGTAATTTTGAAAAAAAAAAATTTTTTTTTTGTTTTTTTTTTGAGACAGGGTTTCTCTGTATAGCTCTGGCTGTCCTGGAACTCACTCTGTAGACCAGGCTGGCCTCAAACTCAGAAATCTGCCTGCCTCTGACTCCCAAGTGCTGGGATCAAAGGCGTGTGCTACTGCCCAGCGTAATTTTGAAATTTTAAGAATTCTGGGTACCTTTTGCTTTTATTTCGTTGCTTTGGAGAAAGTTCCTTCACCAGCATGGGCTCTTCACGTAGGTGAAAGCGTCTGTAGCTCAGTTCCTTTTGGTTCATCCTGCCCAATTGTGACTGGGCCTTTACATTCTTACCTGAAGTCCCTGAAGAGAGTAATTGGAGAATATTTTTACATGTTTCCTTGTTTGTTTGTTTCATCTCATTTATTTTTAAAGAGTCTTGGGCCTAATATGGTTGCACAAGCATTTAATCCCAGCACTCAGGAGGCAGAGGCTGGCGGATCTCTGAATATGAGGCCATCTTGGTCTACAGAGTGAGTTCCAGGACAGGACAACACAGAGAAGCCCTGTCTTGAAAAAAAAAAAAAAATGGTGGCCCATGTCTTTAAGCCCATGTCTCCAGCACACAGGAGACAGAGACAAGCAGATTTCTATGGGTTCAAGCCCAGCCTGGTCTATGTAGAGTTCTAGGCTAAGCCAGCTATGGTAACACAGTGAGACCCTATCAACATAGAAAAGAAGCTAGTGGACAGAAAAGTTTCCAAGCCCTTTCCTGGTGGGCTACATACAACAAACACAGCATGCTTGAAAAGAGCTCTCCATATGCAAAGCTCCACATGCAAATGTCGAAGTACTAGAAGTTTGTTTGTTTTTTGAGACAGGATTTCTCTGTGTAGCCTTGGCTGTCCAAAAACTTCAAGATTCACCTGGCTTTGCCACCCAAGTGCTGGGATTAAAGGCATGTACCACTACTGCCCAGCTAAAATTTTTATTATAAGAATTTCAGGGGCTCCGGGCAGTGGTGGCGCACGCCTTTAATCCCAGCACTTGAGAGACAGAGACAGGTGGATTTCTAAGTTCGAGGCCAGCCTGGTCTACAGAGTGAGTTCCAGGACAGCCAGGGCTATACAGAGAAACCCTGTCTCGAAAAAAAACAAAAAAAGAAGAAAAAAAAAAAGAATTTCAGGGGCACTCTGAGCATCTCAGACGACACACCCATCTCTTCTTTTCCAGGTTTCCCTTGAATTGGATGCCAATGCATACAGGACTGTAGGATGACAGGACTTGGTTGGTCTCATTTTTCAAATAAAATTGTTTAAGTTTGAAAAAAAATTAAAAGCTAAAAAGCCAACAACTTCAATGGCTGAGGGATGTCTCAGTTTGTAGAACCTTTGTCTCACTGCATGAGGACCAGGGTGTAGATCCAGAGCCCACATGGAAAGGTCAGCTGTGGTTGGCATGTGCCTGTGATACCAACAGTGACAAACTGGGTGGCCAAGATAAATGGATACATGAAAATGCACAGGCAAGCTATCTAGCTTACATAGTCAAGTCCTAAGTCAGTAAGTGACCCTGTCTCAAAACAGAAGATAAAAGGCGCCAACCACCAAGACTGTACTTTGACCTCTAGTATGTACTCTTCACATACAGATATACACACAGAATCAGAATCAAATATTAAGAAAATCTAATGTGGAGGATTGAGTAGGAATGGCCCCCATAGACTCATGCGTTTGAGTGCTTGGCTCATAGCGACTGGACTGGCACTATTAGGAGGCGTGGTCTTGTTGGAGGAAGTGTATCACTGGGGGCAGGCTTGGGGGTCTCCTATGCTCAAGCTGCACATAGTGTGGTACATAGTCTCCTGCTGCTTGTGGATCATGATGTAAAACTCTCAGCTTCTTCTCCGACACCGTGTCTGCCTGCATGCCACAATGTTTCCTGCTATGACATTAATCGACTAAACCTCTGACTGTAAGCTAGCCCCAACTAAATATTCTCCTTTAGAAGAACTGCAAGGGTCATGGTGTCTCTTCATAGTTGTAAAACCCTAAGACATCTAAGAAGGCTCAGAGGTGGCTAAGTGGTTAAGAGTAATTATTGTTCTTGCCGAGGACTCAGGTTCAGTTCCCAGCACCCACATGGTGGCTTGCAACCATCCATAACTCCTGTTGGAGGGGATCTGATACCTATTCTGAGCTTTACGGCACTTGCATGCATGTGATGCACGCACACACTCATGTATACACACATACATATATGATTAATATTTAAATAAAGTGAAAATTTAAGAAAAGGGCTGGAAGAAAACAGTCAATACTGTGAAGACTGTCACGGCAGACAAGGAATCTCAATCAGTGAAGACGTCCATATCTAGGTATTGGATTTACCTACCTTTCAACAGAGGAATTGAATCTGTGTCTCTAACTGGCAGATCCTCTGGCATATGATCCAGTAGATGCAGCATCACTTCAATGATCAGACTGTAAGAGAGCCTAGAAGACACTAAATAAAGGAAAAGCCTTGATGAAATTCTAACTTTGGACTGTCTTCTGCAGGACCTCCCTAAATTGCAGTAGGAATTTCCCAGTACTTTGTGATAGTATCTGACACATCGTAGTTATATTTGTGGTGGCGTGGACAAGTCAAAGGCTGTGCACTCAGTAATCATGACCTGGCCTGGAACTTACATCTCTTTGCCTCCTATGTGCTAGGATTAAAGGCTTGTACCAATAGGCTCAGCTTTTATAGATTGTAAAATATGTTCTGTCTATGCCCTGAGTGAGTACCCCTTCGGGAGCACAAGAATGGAGATGGTTGCCTTGCTTGGGATTGGAGGAGGTTTAGAAAGAGGCATATTCTTGTTCTTATTAGAGGAAGGATCATAAGTTTAAGGTCAGTTCCGGTTATGTAGTTAGACAATGTTTCAGAAAATGACAATTAAGCTGGGAATGGTGGCCTATGCTTTAATCCCAGCACTCACTTGGGAGATAGAGGCAAACTGATCTCTATGAGTTTGAGGCCAGTCTGGTCTACATATTGAGTTCCAGGGCAGTCAGCTATTCAGAGAGACCCTGTCTATCTAAAAAACAAACAGTAGCAGCAACAACAACAACAACAAAACCCACCACCAACGACAAAGAAAGTCAAGAATCCCTCTCCTTTGAACAAATGAGCAATAGAGGCAAAAGTGTGGCATTGTGTGAGTTTCCCCTGTTATTAAGTAAGTAAGTGGGAGAGAGTGCAGAAGAGCCTGGGTATGATGGCATAGGCCTGTCAAGCCAGCTGTCAGGAGGACTAACTTGGTCTACATAGTGAAGTCCAGGCTAGCCAGGGGTATACTGAGACCCATCTCAAAGGGTGGAAAACAATGAATAATGAGTATAGAGGCAAGAACAGTGCTAGGGAGGCATTGTCTTTGTTCAGCAAGAGGCTGGGAAGGGTGGAGGTCCAGGGACGCATGGATCATGCAGGCATCAAAGCATTGACAATGAGTTGGTTATGGGATAGGCCTAAGAAAGTGACAGGATCAAAGATGATTCGGTGTCTATGCCTCCAAAGCTGCTGACAAGAGACAAAATGAATATACTTATTTTGCTCTTCTCAAAAGCATCAAGCTGAAAAATAAGAGATCATAAATATGCATTAGATATAAACTTACAGTCCTGGCTCCTTCCAGAGTGTTCTATGCATTTCTTTCCTCTGGATTCCCTGCTGTCTCTAATACCCCTGTTTCCAATCCTCTTGTCCTCCTGCTGGCCCAAGGAGACATTAATCCTGACCTTTTAGCTGTTAACTCTTTGTAGCTCTGTTTTTAGCTTTCTAGAGAAGACTGTACTTTTCCCTGGTCGAATGTTGAACTTGGAGAGACAGCAGATAAAGCATCACTCAACGCAGGAACTTCTCCACTAAAACTGAAGCTGAAAAATATATGTTTGGCTTAAGGTTAATAAGAGTGAGTTGGTTTTGGGAAAATGACTTTTCCATCTATTGTTAAAGGACCAGGTGTGGGATCCCTTGCTTGTAATCCCAGGACTCTGGCAGAGGCAGAAGCAGTGAGTCTGTAGCTAGCCTGGGCTACATAGCTATTGTCCTAAAGGGGGGGGGGGCAGGTGGTGGTGGGGCACACCTTTAATCCTAGCACTTGGGAAACAGAGGCTGGTGAATCTCTATGAGTTCCAGGCCAGCCTGATCTACAAAACAAGTCCCAGGGCAGCCAGGACTGTTGCACAGAGATTTCATCTCTAAAAACAAAAACAAGAAAACCAGTCACTTAGAAGGCCAAGACAATGGGAAAAGAGTGAGTCTTGAGGTCTATTTAAGGAAAAAGACCCTCTGGGAGCATTGTCTCTGACTCATCCTTGGCCCCAGACCCTTCTCAAGTGAAAGATGAATTCGGATAATTTAATATTTTCCCACTAAAGCTTAAGGCAGTCTACTTCTTTTATCTCTGCCTTTGTTTGGTTTTGATTTTCTTTTTTCTCTTTTTTGGTTTTGATTTTCAAGACAAGGTTTCCCTGTGTAGCCCTGGACATCCTGGACCAGTATGACCTCAAACTCAAGAGACTGGCCTGCTTTTGCCTCCTAAATGCTGGGATTAAAAGTGTGCTCTGCCACCCCTGCTTGCTTGTTGTTGAGACAGGGTTTCACTGTGCCACCCTGGCTGTCTAGGACTCAATAAAGCAGGCTGAGCAAACTCAGAGATTCCAAGTGTGGGATTAAAGTTTTGTACAACAAGACCTGGCTATGCTTTTCTCCTTTCCTTTGCTTTGCTTTGCTTTGCTTTGCTTTGCTTTCTCTATCTCCTTCCTTGCTTCCTTCCTTCCTTCCTTCCTTCCTTTCTTTCTTTTGAATTAGGGTTTCTCTACATAGTCTTGGCTGACCTAGAACTCATTATAAGACCCTGTTTCAAAAAAATAAAAAGTTTCTGTGTGTGAATTTTATAATGGCAAGCTATAATTTTATGTTTTAATGATTAATTTTAATATATAATTATATACTAATATAATAATTATTTTATATAATTAATTTTATATTTCAAAGTTATAATTTTATACTTTATATTTCCTCCCAGAAAGTTCACATAGTATTTTTTATAACATTTAGATGTTTGCTCAAAAGTCAGTCTCTGCTATCCTAGGAAAACACTATTAATGACATATAAATTTTATCAACTAAAAAAGCACTTTGCAGTCTGTGCAAAGATTAGTTGCAAGAAAAATTGTCAGAGGATGAAATCTCATACTTCAGAGGCAGATGGTGAATGTGTTAGAGAAGGATTAATTCATAAGAAGCTGGATTTAGGTCACTGCTGTGATGAGAGAGGGCAGAAGAAACAAAAGAAAGAGAAAACCTTTTAGCATAAGAGAAAACAAAAGTACAGCTGGGGCGATGGCTCAGGTGTAAAGTGTTTGATATACCACATGAGGACCGGAGTCCATTCAGAATTTACATAAAAGCCTGGTGCCAAAAATCAAACCAAACCAAACCAAACCAAACCAAACCAAACCAACCCAACCCAACCCAACCCCGGTGCCCGTACCTCTAATCACAGGGATAATGTTTAAAAAAAAATGTTTTTTTTTGTCCCACTACATAAGGTTTCTCTGTGTAACTTTGGTTATTCTGGAACTCTGTAGACCAGGGTGGCCTACATCTCACCATCTCACAGAGATTCACCTGCCTCTGTCTCCTGAGTGGTGGGATTAAAGGCATGAGCCACCACTCTTTTTTTTTTTTTTTTTTTTTTTTGAGACAGGGTTTCTCTTTATAGCCCTGGCTGTCCTGGAACTCACTCTGTAGACCAGGCTGGCCTCAAACTCAGAAATCTCTGCCTCCCAAGTGCTGAGATTAAAGGCGTGTGCCACCACTGTCTGGCAAACCATCACCCTTCTTTTTTCTTTTCTTTTTTTTTTTTTAGGTTTTTTGAGACAGAGTTTCTCTGTGTAGTCCTAGCTGTCCTGGAACTCACTCTGTAGACCAGGCTGGCCTCGAACTCAGAAATCCGCCTGCCTCTGCCTCTCAAGTGCTGGGATTAAAGGCGTGCGCTACCACCCCCGGCCAAAGCAAACTACTTTACAAAACTGCTTTGCCTCTGTTTAGGAGCTGTCAGAGGAGACCATTGCTTGTTTGTTTCTAACACCAGGGAAGTGAAAATGGAAGGATCCTGGGGTTCAATGGCCAACAAGCCTAAGCACATCTTACTGAGCTCCCACTTCATGCAGCAGAGTCGCATGGCAGTGCACACCTTTAATCCCAGCAGAAGGAGGCAAAGACAGGTGATCTCTGTGAGTTGGAGGCCATCCTTGGCTACAGAGCAAGTTCCAGAACAGTCAGGGCTACACAGAGAAACCCTGTCTTGGAAAAACAACAAACAACAATAAAGAAACTCATCCTGAGAAGGGCTCAGTGGTACACTGGAACCCTGAACAGCCAGTGGCTTAGCCACTTAGCCACTTAGCCAGTGGCCAGTGAATTAGCCAGTGGCTAATAAAGAATTTGTACTGGCTTAAACTCATGTCTCAACAGTCTCCTCTGACAGCTTTGGTTATCTTGGAACTGTAGATAAGGCTGGTTTAGAACTCAAAGATCTGCCTGCTCCTGTCTCCAATATTGGGATTAAAGGCCTGCGCCACTGCAACTGGCTTTGTGTCTTGCTTTAATAAAAATGCTAATAATGATAATATTAGATTTAGGGCCACTGGGATGGCTCAATGGGTAGAGGTGCCTGCAGCCAAACCTGATGACCCTTGTTCAATCCTTAGTACTCACTTGTTGTTAGGGGGTGAACCAACTAGTGCAGGTTTTCTTTTGTTCACCAGTGTGCCTTCCAAAATAAACAAATAAAATGTAAACTAGGAGCTGGGTATGGCGGCTCAAGGCTTTGATCCAGCACTTAGGGGCAGACAGATCTCTAATTCAAGGCCTGGCTACAAAGTTAGTTCCAGGACAGTGGGGAGGCTACACAGAGAAACCCAGTATGGGAAAGGAAAGGAAAAGGGAAGAGTAAAGCAGGAGGGTTCCCTGGTTCCCTAACAGCAACACACAGAAATCTCCAGTCTTTCTCTATTTGTCTCTTATTTTGTTGTACTGGGGATTGGACCAAGGACCTTGTGTGTGTTAAGCAAGCTCCCTATCACTGAGCCCAGCACTTGTCTTATTTAATTTGTAAAAAAGTCATATGCATGTGTGTTTTGTCTGCAGGTGTGTGTATCACATGAGTGCCTGGTGCCCTTACACCAGAGGCCAGAAGAGGGGGTTGGAACCCCAAGGATCTGGAGTTATATGGTAAGCTCCTATGTGGGTGCTGTTAATTGAACCTCAGTCTTCTGGAAGATCAGCAGTTGTTGTTAACTACTTTCTGGCTCCCCAATTATCTGTCTGTCTCTCTGTCTGTCTATTATCTATCTATCTCCCTACCTATATTATTGTTTTTTTTTGTTTTGTTTTGTTTTGAGATAGTTTCCC